CGGCAGCAGACATCCCACGCCTTCCCTTTCCCCGCTGCCGCCAGCAGCAGAGCGCAGCGCCCGCATCCCGCACTTTGCCGGCGGAGCCCCGCGCTGTACCCGCACGGCGCTGCCCTAAGAGCCTCTTGTTTTCCGCCCGAGAAAGCGGTGCCCTTTTTTTTTTTTCCCCCGTGTAAACTTCTCAACAATCGCGGGGAATTTGTTCCATTGTTTTGTTTTGTTTTTCATTTTCTTTTTTTTTTTTTCCCTTTTTTTTCCCCCTTTTCTCTTTCCTCCCTTTTCTCTCTTCTTGATATTTTTATTTCCCTTTTATATGGAGACTTGTAGATTTTGTCACTTCAAACGTCCGCTGGTCCTCCTCTTTTCTTCTGCTTTACAATACGCACTAGGAGATTTTTTTTTTTTTTTTTTTTTTTTTGCATATTCCTCCCCTTTCTCAGTGAGATATTGTGGCTGACCAAATTTAAAACACTACAGTATTTAGGATCCCTGCGGTGCCATTTGAAGTATTTGGACCTGGAAAATGCCCCAAGCAATAACTACCTGAATTGCTTTTAATTACACAATATAGCTGCATCATTTTACTTCAGATTCTTTTTGATTGATGCTGTAAGGCAATTGTAACCATGGATGATGGGATTAAGTGCCTCTTGAAGTGACTTTAGCTTCTTGTGGGAACAAAGGGAAAGAAGAGAACACTTAGTCCCTTTTGGAGCGAACAGCCTTTTTTCACTTGCTGTATAAAGAAATACAATTAACAAACATTATCCCCAGAGGTGAATTGAAATGTACGTGCAGACAATAACTGCTCTTGACTGCAATTAGACATATATGATCCGAGGAATTTTGGCCATTCATTAGTGCTAATTGTTTGAGAAACAAGCCCACAGAACAAATGATTAAAATGTTAGTGCCATAACCGGGATTATTAGCATGTGTGATAAAATGCATGCGCTGCAGCTGTACCAATAAAACTCTCGGGAAAGTCGCTTTGATTTGACGAACGCTCGGCTTGGCTGTGAGCTGCTCGTATTTGCACAAGGCCTGCTGATGTTTATAACAAACAACTTCTCGCTTCTTTTCTTAATTAGAAAGAATTACCATGCAAATTGGGGCGCTTTGTAATTTCGCGCAACTCGCCTTTGTCTTCGGTGGATCGTTTGTGTGTGTTGGGGAGCTGCTCCCTTGCAAATCAGACATAGTCAAACCGCCGCGTTTAATTTGTGTGGTGATGTGTTTTTTCACACATCAAACAATTAGCTGGAGGAGACTTCGCTATGTTAGCTGCGCTGCATTCAGGGTCGCTACTCATGATCTTTAGAAACTTGTTGCCTGCACCGTGCTGTAAGAGTGGAGATCTGGCCTACCAAGCCATGGGTATTTTCCCATCTGTTGGGCATGTGATGCTGTAGAGTCTCTTCTAGGATGATTGGGTCTGGCCAATAAACACGGAGCGGAGATGCAGGCTGAAGTGCTGATCTTGAGAACAACTTGTGGAAGTGCTTTACTTTCTGTGCTGCAATTTGTTGGCTCCAATGAGAAGGCACAGGTGTGTACCATTCAATATATGTGTGAGCACGAGCAGTGCTGGAATATGACGATGCAGTGTGCCTCAGGGGCATCGCTGTGCTTGTCAGTAATTTCGCTGGTTGCCGTCCTGCTGTATGGCTGCCATCGCAAAGTGCAGCTCTTAGTAATCCAAGTGCTTTTGTTTTCTCCTTCCTGAGGATGTGTATTTGCTCAGTTCAGTTAAACTGTTCTCAGAGGATCAAGAGTAAGTTTAATTTGCTGGCTACTTCTACATATTTGATGTAGACTTCAGTAGAATGCTGTTTGCAGAAGCAATGTGCCTTGATCACCAAGACCCACAAGCATTCAACATACTCCTGGATGCTATGGATGGAAGAATACTGCGGTAAAACTATGCACTGAGCATTACCCAGTAGCCTAGTCCTTGTTTTAACTTAGAGTGCTTAATGAAAGAAACATTGTCTTAGCATATTCACCTGGCTTATGTCAGTATTTAGTTTTAAACACAATCAAGCTTAGTTTGAATCATCAGAATACTTGTAGTCAGCAGACGTGTAAGATTTTCTTCCCCTTTACAGCATGGGGTTATAACAAATTGCATCTCCCCTTTAAAAAAGCAACCACACTGGGGATGTTCTCACTCCATCAGAATCACAGAAGATGATGATCAAGATAGCATTTGTTGCTGGAATAGCTAAACTATTAGTATGCATGCCACTGTCAGACTTACAAGGTTCTATAGGCAAGTGGATTTTGTTGTGGAGTTGTTCTTCCTGGGCAATTCGTTCTATTGCAGAACATAAAATTTGGCTATGCAACACAAATGTGCAGTGAGAATGGGGTTTTTTTAAGAATATTTGGCAAAATAATAGTGTCTGAAAATGTACCTCAGTATCCTTGATAAAAAGGATTTTATTTTGCACTCACATTTCTAGAGCTCTTTGTTTTGGGAAGAGAAGGTGTTGTGTTGGTCAGCCAACAGCAGTTCCTTCCATACACTCCAGTTTCAGAAAACGTCCTGAAAAAGCTACTTCATGTTTCGTAAGACTATTAATTTGACAAACTGTCAATATATGTTTCCAATATTTTGTGTCCTAAGAAGCTTGCTTTTTGAGCCCCTGGGGCTGCAAGTTGATTAACTGAGGAGAGCCCAACATTTTCTAACATTGAGCCCAATAGGTTCACGGATTAAATATGCTGCTTCTTGAAGGGGAGCCACGTTGCTGCCCCATCTAGAGGGGTGTTCACAGATGTGAGTGGGGATATGTAGCTAAGGCTGCTCTACTGGCAGTGAGGGTTTCCTCATGCCATTGTGTAATAGGAGATATGTCTTCTCCTGGTGTGCTCTGAGATGATGGTTTTAGCCACTCCTACCAGAGTAGGGTGGTTTGGAAGGCTGGTGGGAAGCAATGCCTTTGGGCACTACGGAGTTGAAGCCATCAGAGATAAAAAATATAAATGAATCACTTCTATCTTCTCATACATGTCTTGTGAAGAACTGCAGAATTCTTTACTGACCTCTATGTGTCACACTGAAAAAAGACCCTCCGCTATTGCACTTCCTCCTTGCTCTTCCGAAGTGTACTACTGCAAGAAAATGAGATTAAGCAGACTTAACTAGCAGCCACTTGATTTGCCTCAAGTTGTGTCACCACCCCCTCTTCAACACAAGGCTGGGAATGAGGAATGGTTTGTGGGAGAGGAGCAAGGAAGGTGCTCAGGAGAAACTCAGCTGGTGTTGATTATCAAGATCTCCAGCATCCATGTTTTGGAGCTGCTGCAGCTAGAGATAAGATTAACTAAGGAGGCTAGTGGCACAGTTTGTAACAAACAGTCAAGCATTTCTGTTTAACAGCAAAGCTACCACGTTGCTTAGGGTGAGACACATTACAAGGAAGAGACTGGTGTGGGATTTTTGTGGGCTCAAGAAGTGAGTCTACCCAGGATAGGCAGAGACCTGGCAGAGGAGCTAGTGGAGTAATTGTCCTTTTCTGATTAGTTTGCTGAGATAAAATGTAATTAAAGTTTTCTTTGTGTTTTTAATTCAAGATCTGTCTTTCAGGATGCCAAGTCCAGGGGGAGGGAGAATGCATTGGTAGGGTTAGTTTAGAAAGTGGTCTGTCAGCAAGGCATCACATGGCTCTGATGTAGATTGACTGAACTCATTTCCAGATGTTTGAGAGGGTTAGTCACTTTGGAAAAAAGCCTTGTGTGCATGTAGCTGTGTGTTACTCAGATGTAGCGACCTGGGAAATGTTATTAAGAGGGACATAGGAAAATGCATGGGTCTCTGACGTGATGTGATAATGACATATTCAGTGTGGTGCTAGAAAAGCTTTGCATTATTCAAAGTGCTGAATAATATACATGATAATGCGTAACGGTGTTGGATTATGGTGGGATTATTTTGTGACTTATAAGTGACTTGTGCACCGGCTATGAAGATGAGCTGTGTTATTTTGTCCTCAGTTTTGATGTAGCAGAAAATGTCTGAGGGGTACAGCTTGAAATAGGTAGAAGCAGGGCTAGGGTAGAGCAAGGGCTTTTTTTGAAAGGCCACGAAATGCAGCGGTGCTGTCTGCAAAATATTTCTCTGTGCCTGTAATTATGGAGCAAGGCAAGCTCCCTACTGTGCTTGAGGCCAGCCTCTTTCAGCAGCCCAGAACACACAACCCCAGATTTGGGATGGGTAGGCCACAGCCTCACCAGGAATGATCAGCATGGAGTGGAGACCACCACAAACTCAACACCTACTCAGATGAAGCCCTGTGGCACTGCAGGCTCATACCTGTGCTGAAGTGTGGGGCACAAAGCCTTTATAAGCATGAAGAGATTCTGTGGCCAACTGGCCTGCTGATGATGCTGGTGGGCTTGTTAGCTCTGCCAGCATTCCTGGTTTTTCTCGCTTCCCTCTCCATCCATTTTCTTATTTAAAATCCTCATGAAAATACGTTTGTTGAAATAATACTGAGGTTGCAAAATCAACCTTGCAAAATGGTGTTTGTTTAACCAGCCTTCCTTCTTCATTCACAGCATGCCATCCAGCTCCTGCAGCACATGTGGCAGGGAGCAGCCCCTGTCTTAAAGCAGCCGTGTCTTGCTCCCATCACAGTCTGTGGAAGAATCCCATGGCAGAGGGGAAAAGTAAAATAAAACCTTACTGTACTTGTCATGGGGCACAAAACAGGCAGTGCAATTAAGGCCACGTGGATAACCTCAGCCCTGACATTTCTTCAGTTCTGGGTGTTATAGTTTGCAACTTCTGTTGAACATGGTGTTTTGGGGGTTTTATACCATAATTACCTTTAATACTGATATCTCCCTACCTTAGCTATAATACCAATATTTCCCTACCTTATCTCTTCCTGAGAAATAAATTCAAAAGGCCACTATCTAGATAGGAAGGTTTCATTTTTAGGATATCGTCAAGTACTCTTTTAAGAACCTAATTTCAACTTTCTCCTTTACAGGCTGAGTTCTTCTCTGCCAGCTGGCGTCCCCAAGCTGAGCTATCGCTTTGCATCATCTCACAAGTACATTCCCAGGAGAGCTGTGCTGTATGTACCTGCGGATGATGAAAAGAAGATACAAAAAATCCCATCACTAAATGTCGATTGTGCGGTGTTGGACTGTGAAGATGGCGTGGCTCTGAACAGAAAGGTAATTAAAAATTATCTGTGCAATACAATCAGCGCTAACTTGGATGTGTGGGCAAATATTGCCTTTGCCTAAGGGGAAGTGGCAATCAGACAAAGGTAGATCTTAAGATATACAAAGTACAGTGATAGTGATAGGTTTTATGGAGGTGTTGGAAAACGTGCTTACCCAGAACTGCAAGAGATGGCCCCTAAGTGGGAAGCGAGTTTTGAAGGAATGCAGGGCTGGGCATAAGCACTCACTGCAGGAAAGTGGGAGGTGCCATTATTTTTGCTACATATTTCTTGTAGAAAAAGAGGAAATAGACTGTTAGAAGAGAAGCAGGGAAGGAAGGATTGGCTCACAGTCATCAAGTGGGAATTTTGTTGTTAAAACAAAAGCTTCAGATTGCGAGCAAGAGTTTGGTTTCAGGCTTGAGCCTTGGTGTATTTAGAAAGATTTACTCACTGAGATTTTCAGAGGAAATGTTGGTGGGTTATTTCTGAATAAGTCAGAACCCAAGTCCACCAGGGACTGAAGGGCATTTTAGATCCAAGGAGCTGCAAGAAAGCAGGCAGGGTGAGAAATAAATGTAGACGTGTGAAGTACCAGTGCTAAGGTTTTGATGATATTTGATTTTGTGAGAGAGAATGATCCAAACGTGCTTTCATCTATCCTTGCTGGCAATCTTTTTAAAGTATCTCAAATGAACCATTAAAATGTTTCACATCTCAAGTAATGCATACCAGAAACTGGTTTGAATCTTTCACAATGAAAGGTATTTTGGAACTGGAATATAAATGTGCCAAAGCACCATCTTCGTATTTGTAAGTCTTACTGTTCATTTTACAGTACCTCAAACAAAAGCAAGCACTACTTAGGGTTTAGGTATTAATTTGTTGTCCAGACAGTTATGAAAATAGGCTTGAAAATTTTTCCAGGTAATTTCAAAAATGTGGATGAAATTTTATTCTTTTCAGTTTCTTGGGAGTTAATGCTTTCCAGAAGGACTCAATTTGGTAGTGTTCCCTTTAACTTCCAGGTCTTCTTTACAAGTATGTTGAAAAGAAAAATATTACAGAGTTTTCACATAATAATTCTAGCTCTGAAAAGTGAAAATAGTGCTGCTGAATGTTCATGTGTGCTGATGAAGGCAGATGGAAAACATTTTCCAGTTGCTAAAATTCTGTGTAAAAGGCTAAAATTATATCTGCTGTCACAGTGAATTAGTGTTGTTTAGTTCATGTTTGGAAGGCTGGTACTGTAAAATGACACAAGACACAATTGTGTGTTAAACTAGCATTTTTAGGTGCAGCTTAATTATGTGAAACAAACCATTTATAGCAGAGGCATCAATTTCTAATACAGGATGACAGCAAAACGAAATTTTATGATCAAGGTGACAAATTTGATAGTAGTAATTTCTAAAGGGTGATAAAATTCTACCTTTGTTGAAGTGAAGGGGAGCTGTGCCACTGGCTGTAAGATTTCAAAGAAATTAGGAGAAAATTATGTAATACAGACTGGAGGTGACAGACAAGCCCCTGACTGAGCTTAAATGCAAACAAGAAGCAGATAGGAGGTAAAAGTAGGGGCAAGCTACCAGAGAGCAACACAGAACTGCTGTCTGGGCACACAGGGACAGAAGGTAGAAGGTCAAAGCTTGGCTGGAATCTAAACCGATGAAGCTTGAGCAGGTCAGCAAGAATGGCTACCAGGAGTTTATCAGTAGCAAAAAGGAGAAGAAAGAGCAGGTGAAGTGTGGACTCACTGCTCCATGAAGCCTCAGGCTTTACTGTCAGTCTGCTCTCAATCCTGCTGGGGCATTTCTTAGAAGCGAAATCTGTGGCAGCAGGACATAGCCACAGTAGAGGAGAATGAAGTTAGGGTCTGTTTCAGCTGGTTTGTGGGACCACGCAGGGCACACTGGAGACTGCTGAGGGAGCTGGCTAGTGTCATCCTGAAGCTGCTGTCAGTCATCAGCGAAAGGTCATGATGGCTGGCGTGGTTCCTGATGCCTGGAGAAAAGAAAATGCTTACAGCCATCTCCAGAAAGGGTAAGAATGAGGAACCACAGGCCCATCAAGCTCTCACTAGTGGTTGTGAAAGCTGTGGTGCTGGTCCTCACTGAAGTTATTTCATAGCCAGATCAGGACCAAATCATGCCCAACAAATCTCTAAATAAATGATCATGTTTTAGTATGAGAGATGAATAGAGGTCTACCTTGACTTTGTGAAGACTTTGGCATGGCCTTACATAGTATCCTCAGTAAGCCTGAGAAGAAATGGGCCATGTGGACAGAGTGTAGGGTTGGTGGCAGTTTGCCTGGATGTGAGTGGTGCGTGCTGTGTATATTTTGCAGTTGCCCCTTGTGGGGCAAATACCATGAAAATCTTCATCAACAGCCTGGTTGATGGGATGGAGTGCACTTTCAGCAGATTCATGATCATAGCAAATTGGGGTGCAGTTGATAAGCTGGAAGGGGCAGCTGTTCTTATGGGGCTTGGCCTTCAGAGGAATTAGTTGGCAGAGACATAATGAAGTCCAGCCAAAATAAAAGTAAACTCAGAATCATAGAATTGCTTAGGTTGGAAGTTGGCCTTCAAGAACATCTTGTTTCAACCCCTCTGCCATGGATGGGGTTGCCAACCACTAGACCCTGTGATCTCAAGGACAGGCTAGGGGCACAACTGCCTTGGTGCAGCTCTTCAAAGAGGCCCTAGCAGTAGCTGTTTTAATTGCAGCTGAAGGGGTTCCAGCAGCGCATCCTGTGGCAAAGGTGGCCTACTGCCTCAGAGCCATGCTGCCAGGGATGCAGGCAGCTGGTGCAGGGAAAGGGTTCCTCACCCTCAATTGGGATGGTGAGGTGAGCAGATTGTGCCCAGCAGGAGGCCTCAGGACAAAAGAGGCACTGAGAAACAGGAGGGAGACTGTGAGAGGCCACCAAGATGGCCATGGCACAGGGGGCGAGGCTGAGGGAGAGGAATTTATCTATCCTGGTGAGGAGAGAGCAGAGGGGACCTTGGTGAGGCCCTACTTTGATCAGGAGGATGGAGATGTTCTACTGAAGTCTCTTCCAACCTATGAATTAGTCTGTGTGATGCACGACCTAGTAGCAAAGCATAATTCAAAGTGATTGGAAGATCGAACTTCATTTTTAGATCTGCCACAGGTACTCAGGAAGACTTTGACTATTAGGTTCTGTGAATGCGAAGCTGAAATTATTACTGCTCTTGCTGCTTAATATATTAATGTTTCTGAGGTGTTTGGAGACTTTGTGTGAAAGATATGTCAAGAATATGCACTGAAGTACTGTATTCAGTGACCCGTTGCAAATGGGTCATCTAAAACTGAGAAAAAAATACTCAGCAACACTGAGTTTGTCCCTTTGATTCATTATTCTTAAAATAAATAGTGCTGATGATTTTTGCTGTTTACTGCCATGTTTTGTAACAATAAAAATTCCACCTGTGAATTTTCTTGAAGCTACTATTAAATGTTAGGGCTTAGGAAAGTAAGAACCTGGCTGAAGGTTCACAGTGCTTTGGGCCAATTTCACTTGCTTACACAGGGTCCTTGCTTTAATCATATCCAAGCAGCAAATTTGAACAACACCCCACCAAGTCTGTTTTACAAGACTTTGTGTGGTACACATTCAGATTAAGCTAGATTCAGATAGATCAACGATCTGGAATACCAGCTGTTCCATTTGTTTTAAAATGAAAAGTCATTTCCAAATGAGAAATGTTGCAGTCTGAAGTCATAGAAGTGGAGTCATAGAGTCATAGAATCATTTGAGTTGTCAGGAACCTTTAAAGTTCATCTGTATGTCAAACTGCAATATTTCTGTAGTATCCAACCTATTTGTCTTTTTTTTTTCCTTAACAAGACAGTGCCTCTCTCTATCCTGCTTAAGCAGCAGTCTTGATGTCAGGGTCTCTGCAAATACGTTTCTGAAACATCCCAGAACCCCAATAATTGCCTGTATTCAGCTGTGTATTCAGTTGAGAGCATATTCTGCCTCACCAGGTAAAAAGGTGTTGGAAGAAAGAAAAACTAATTGGCTGCAGAGTTCAGGTTTCTTGGAGGAACATCTTTATTTCTTCACACCCAATACCGCTGTTGGGGGCAGGTAATTACAGCTTGATTGTCTGCAGAGTAAAGCCATATGCAAGTCTTTGCTCATTTTGAGACAGTAGCTTCATGACCAGTTCAGTGATCAGGGAACAGCTGGCAAGGAAAGCAGCCTCCCTTGGTTATAGCATTTTCTTTGTAACTTCCTCTGCTTAGTTCTTCCTCATCCTCTAGCATGAGTCCCTTTCCAGGTTCCTCTGGACTTTTGCCTGTGTCTTCTGCTTCCCAAAGTCTTCTCTTGCTCTAGCCTTTGGTCATGGCTCAGTAGCCTCTGGTCTCATCACTTAATAAATAGCTTTCCCTCAATGTTAGTTTTTGTTCAGATTTGCCAGAATGTTAACCCCAGTGGTGGTGTTAGACCTAATTGCCCTTTCATACTAGGGAATTAAATCCTGCCAGCAATATACAGATATTTATCACTCTTTGTCCTAAAACAAATCTGACATACAAAGCTTCACATTTCTCATGTTTTTTACAGTACAGGTAAAAAAGCAGTCTCTTGGATTAAATATATGTTTAGGAAACTTCCGTGGGATCCCCCAACATGAAACATTTCATTTGAAATTGAGCAGTGTTGCTGTTTTTCCTCTGGAACTGAAGAGATCGTCTTCATCCAATAAAAGTTATTAATATTCAGGGCTGGACTCTAAAATGATGTCGGACTGATGAGAGTTTAAGTTCTTTTGCTGTGAGACAGGATTCTATCACTTTGTGTCTTGTAGGAGGAAGCTGCCTGCTCCTCCAGCGCCTGAGCAATAGAAGCTGGGGAAGAGGAAGCTGTACTCCATCTTTCCTCTCATCTCTGCCTTCAGCAGACAAGCAACAAGCCCTGAGCCTTCCTGCTCTCCCTGTGCTCCTCAGCAGTGAGGGGAAGTTCAGTTTGGCTGGG